TATTAGTTGCGATATTATGTGCGCACGCGATATGGGCTCATAGATAATAATAGACGAGAAAATATGCTCCTGGAACAACATGTGTGTAGCTGTTCTTTGTTTGACAGATTCGTTCTATGGGATTGCCAATATCTCTACATAGTATAAAACAAAGTCGCTATCCGCCGTTTGTCTGTCCCTATGTATGCTCAGATCTTTAAAACTACGCAACGGAATTTGATGCGTTTTTTTTAATAGATAGAGTGATTCTTAAGGAAGGTTTATATGTATAATACATGTATATTGCACCCGTGCGAAGCCCGGTCGAGTCGTTAGTATAAAATATATTAATGATTCAGGACGTAACACAAAGGCATGACCTACTAAAGTATAGGATTTGATTGCGGTATAGTAATAAAATAATTGATAGAAAAGAGTAGATATTGAGCCGAAATCCATAAAAAGTCGGTCTACCATCTTCGTTTAAGCGTCTGGGGCTTGCTAAGTTATATCTACTTATTCAGTTTTCAGTCACTCTTTTTCTGATGAGTGTACCAGACTCGAGTCTATTGGGCTTACAACTGTTGATAGAGAAGATAAAAATTTGATGTACAAACTGCCTTAGCCTTGTACGAGTCTAAATCGAAAACGTCAGATCCGTTTCATTGATTAAATCACTTAACAATGCTACCCTATTAGCCACCTAGGTAAAAACTAATATTTTGTTAGTAAATATATGTCAAAATCATAAGGGATCTACTTAGGCATTACTTGATGATTGTGACACACAAATAATGGCATTGACACGCCTCGAGAGCAATCGTTTAATAGGAAATCTATGTTTTATTGGCTGATCGTTTCATCTGCACGTAAAATATGTTTGCGGTCCAATTAGCGCTGATCGTACACCGAAGGTGTTTCTCTGTCGTTGGCAAGCTTAAGACAAACTTTGTAAAGTACTTATTGTCTACTTGAACAGGTTTTTTTTACTAATTACGTAGGTATTTTGTTTATTTTTGATTTTCCTTTCTATACTGTTGTGTAATGGTAAATTACGAATTAATATCGTCACACGAATCGTTATAAATGCCGCGGCAAAATTGCCTTTACAGTTTATAGGTGGATCGGTAATCGTCAAGTTATGTTATGTGCAAATTAGATGATCCTGGCAACCGTCATCGGTTCATTGTGAATATTGTATAAATTGACATAAGTAAGGATAGTTAGCACAACAATTTACTTTAACTATACAATCATATATTTACTATCAAAGGTAGTTTCATATTATATCATTTTATTTTGACCGTGGGAACTTGTGAATAAATGAGTTTAAAAAAAACTTGTGATTTTTTCAATACTAAACAAAAAATCCTTTAAACATCTAGTGTTCGTAGCTTTTTTTAATTTGAATTGTTTAAACTAATAATTTCACCTAGATTATCCGTTTTTGACTGACATAAAATATATGAAAGGTCTACCTACTACAGGTACGTATCTATAGGTATTACATACATACCTACATAACATCACGCCTTTTATCCCCGAAGGGGTAGGCAGATGTGTACATTATGCCACTGTACAATGTAACACCCACTATTTATGTTATGAGTTCCATGTAATAGGGGGGGAGCCTATTGCCATATATCGGGCACAATTGCAGACTCCGTGCTACTACTAAGATTTTTTAGCCCAGTAATACTTTACCCGACCCGTAAATCGAATCCGAGACCCCTTGCCCGGCAGTCGCACTTGCGACCAATCAGCCAACGAGGCAGCCTTTTCTCGTTTTACGGCACAAAACTATCATAAAATTGTTAATAGATAGTTATTATTTGATTGACTTCTTAGTCCTCATAATATAAAGCAATTGAAATTACTCAACATTTACGTCCCTATTTAAGTACACCTTTACTAATAGATATTTAAGTAATTGCACGTCTCTGATGTGTGTTACATCATCATAATAATTAATATTAATTAACAAGTGAATGAAAAAAAAAACAAGATTATGTTTTTTTGAATAGGTAGATAATAAGAAAACCAATTCCCATCATAAGATTTTTTGTCGGAGTCTTGGATGTGTTCAGAAATATATTGAACACTTTCACGTATTGATTTTTCTTTTTGACGAGGAAAAATCATCCAATTATGAATTACTCCACCCACCTTGGTTGAGGCAAGGCATCTGTCAGACTATTACCTACTGACTGAAAACGGACCTTATTTCAAATCCTTCGAGTTAACTAACTAATCAACTTGTTGCCCTTTGTAAACCAGACCCGGAACCATTTCTAAGTAAAACAATTGGGTACTTTCCTCAACCAAAATAAATTATTTTGAATGTTGAATATAATAAAATATTAAATAATAATCACACTTTCATTATTTGATTTTATGGGCAATTTAATTTTAGTATTTTTCCAGCAAATTTTTAGGAAATAAGTAGGTATGCTGCTTGACGCTAAGAAAAGGTGACGTCACAATACACATTCTCGTACAAAATTCATAGAAAACTGTCGTTTAGATAGTTCGAAAAAAGTATTGAATTTGACTAGTTAGCAAGTACCCGATTGTCTTGGTGCGGGTTCTTGACACGTTCCGTAGCAGCCTTTTTATTTAGTTCCTAGCTACTACTACTACCGCGCGGGTTCATACCCGCTCTGCTCGGTGTCTATCGTATCGATCGTTGCAACATGTTTTATAGCCTTCCTCGATTAATGGAGTATCCAACACAAGAATATTTTTTCAGCTTCCTGAGATTTAGTTAGTACAAGATGGCTACTAAATACTAATTAATTAAACAAACCAATGTGAGCACCATGTTGGGCTACAAAATTTTTTTTATTTACTTTAGTAGGTTTTGTCTTTTGTAATTAGTATAATGCGTCAAACGTGTCTTTGCATTGTTCTCACATATATGTACGTACAGTATTGGAATATGTAAGTACCAGAGAAATTGTACAACATACTTTTTTAAAAAAAGTAACAAATGGAGTTTCTTGCTCGTTCTTTTCCATTCGAATCTACATTTTGGAATGAGCACCTAGCTTTACCTAGCTTCATTGACTGACAGACTATTACCTATTTATTTTGTATTTGTTGACGTTTCAAAGTACCAAATTATGGTTTAATTGAAATAAATGCTTTGACTTTGATTTTGAAATATATAATAAATCTGTATCTTTCAAAAGTCAACAAATACTCCTTGCAAAATCCATAATTCTATTCTTAATTTAATAGTGAGTAGTACATGTACGTGTACCTAATTACTTAAGCACTAACAGGATACCTATTATAAGTGCAACAACTAGTATTCAAGCTAATAATGTGTTGAGGCAATCCCAGAGGAATGTATGACCGTTCATCATTGCCTTCCTTCAGTAATGGCCGGTCAATAAATAACGGGCTCCGTACCCATTTTATGCGAATTTGTCTTATATGGTACCTAAACATTATTTTGCTAGAACTTGGTGATCTTTTAGGTGCCTTGTTGCTAGGAACTGAAGGTATCTTTGAAATGAGTTTAAATCGAAATGTGTAAATAGGTACTTAAATAAACTTATTGCATATTTCAGAATGTCTGATTACCTGATTAAGTTCCTGTGAATTTAATAGACACATTTTAAATGGAAAATACGTCAAAATATACATCAGACTAACAGAAATTTAATCAGATATTGCGATACAGGCCTTTAGTTTAGGGAAACGTATAAGGTTTTTAATTGGTTAGACATTGAATACATAAGTCTGATCCTATTCACTTGAAAACCTATACCTAGCTACAACATGATCAAAATAAAACTATCAAAGAAAATATTCTGCACGAAAATGAAAGGAAGAATAAACATGCAACCGTTGCATTGAACAATGAACATTGAAAGTTCAAATTATAGAATGTCTCGGAAACTTATTAAAAGTTTAAAATAGACGACAGTTATTGTCTATTAGAGATATACTTCGAATCGCTTTTAGAAACTGCATTCAGCAATGTTATAAACCAAAATTATTATACTGCAGTTATTAGGTAAGTAAGCCTTACATAGGTACCTAGATATTTACTTAGGTATTAGTGTTTCAACTATAGACTGGTCTAGTACCCATCTTTGTATTACCTAGTATTTTCCTTATACCTTTCTAGGATTCCATACAAATCAGTGGCTATTTATAAAAGTTGGTACGCGTGAAACTAAACTTGCTTTGAAGCGTGAGAAGAAAGCCATTTTGTTGTGTTTTGCCCATTTGATTTCTATCACTTGATGAATAAAAGTGCGATAAAATAAGTTCTTATGCGACTGTGTAAAAATATTGTAATAGGGTGTAGATACCTACATAGCTATAAAATAATTGGAATAGTAGAAAAGTTTCTTTTCTTTTCGGAACTTGTATTAATGAAGTAGGTAGGTACAGTTAAGTGTTTTTTTTTTGTTAAAAATTGAGTGGTTCAGTGTATTCAGTGGATTTAGTTCACTTCTGTCTTCCTCGTCAAGGAATAAAATAGTCTCGACATTTATTTAGGGTGACATCATTTTAGTAAAACTATGTGCAACTTTGTTCAACGTATAGGTACTATAAATTATTTAGGTTGAAACTGAATTAGAGATTGCATCAGTCTTAGTATATATATAAACCTGCATAGGCATTGATAAGAAATGCATCATAGGTAGGTATAACGTTTGAAGCTTTTTGCAGTCATCACAAAGCGATCACGGTAAATAAAAAACTTAGTTCCTCACTTAGGTAAAAACAGGATAGGTATCAATGAAAGAATTCTAGGCAGCAGTAGTTTAAGCAGCTGGATTAACATATTTCACAATTTGGGTTGTTTAGTTAATTTCTATTAATGTTTGATGCTCTATTTTTCGTTACTAGGCTTAGTAAATACCTAAATAAAAAAAAAAATAGGATCGATCGTTGGCGCTACCTATGTAATCAAAAATAGTTTTAAAATACATGTATTTTGTAAAATGTACATAGGTATTGTAAAATATGTACCTAAATAGATAAAATATTATTTAACTTACCATTTTTAACGTGATGTAGGTAAGCTCGATCTGATTGCTGCTGTTAGTAAACTTATTTGTATTCAAGAACAATCACTAGGTAACACAAAAAGGAAAAAAAATATTATTTTTCAATTTTCGAACATACACATTTGTTTCCCGCCAAAACCATTGGTGAGGTACGCATGCGCGACGTTACCGCGCGTCGAAACTTCTGCTCACGCTCAAAGCGGGCTTGCAACCGCTCACCCACCAACCGTTTCTCCGGGAGAATCAAAGCACGTAATGTGCCTTATGAAAGCGATGGCCGTGGAAGGTCACAATTTTGTGCACTCATACATATTTTGCTAGATAGTTTATAGGCTTTCATTGACCGCTGAACTGTCTCCTAATCTACTTTGTTCTGAGGAGTGAAAGGCAATGATGCAGATCAAGCTTCACTGGTCATTTTATCGCAGAAAGTCGTCAGAAAATGCATTACATAGTGCACTAGGTCTCGTGACTTGCGTTAAGATGGGCGCGGAAAAGTCATTTGAATGTTATACAGTCGATGGCCCTAATTTTCTTACACTCACTTGTTTTACTTACTATATGAATAATGAGCAACAGTTTAGCTACATAATTTTCTAGTAAAATATACATAGATACCTGCGGTACTATGTCAGTTGAGTGGCTTTCTTCAACAGTCGATTACTTAGGTGTTTAAGGACTTTTTATTCCACCGAAACGTGGGCGAAGCCGCTGGCAAAAGCTAGTAATTGCATAAAAACTACAATCCACTGTAACCTAAAATAGGTTCTATAATTAATTGTAAGTAGGTTTAATATTTAAAAGTTTAAATCAAGGCAAGTAATACACAAAGACACATGTCAAAGGCACATAGACGCACTATTGACGTATACAAAAATATTTTCATAAATGTTTAATTTTATAGGTAACATACGTGATGAATTACTTGATGACTTCGTACACATTTTAGATTATATATCTTTAGAAAGTCTTAGTTTATATGACAAAATAACGGATAATTTGATAGTTGTACTTCGTACAAAATTCAGTAAACCTCGATGTGGTGACAAATTTTTAGTGTAAAATAGATTAAGTTCTAAACACATTTTTCCAAATTCTCGTGCAACAAAAATTTAAGCAATATGGATATCGAAATGAGTACAGAAAATACCGGGGCCGGTGAAGAGGTTGAGGTTAGTGAAAACCACGACAAAGAAGCAGGCCAAATAAGCACAATTGGTGAAACAGTAACTGATGAAGGCGACCGAATTGAAGTTGTCGAAGGAACAGAAGGTGAAGGCACCGCTGAAGTAGGTGAAGTGGTTGAAGGAGAGACAGGAGGAGAAGCCGCAATAACAGAGGAAGTCGATGGAGAACATATAGAGCCAGAAGGAGTTTTGGAGGGTGAACAAGTTGAAGGAGAGGAGGTTGAAGGTGAAACTGCGGCTACTGAAGGGGAACACGTTGAAGGTGAACATGTTGAAGGAGAAGAAAAAGAAAAAGGTGAAGACATAGATAAAGTGGAAGGAGAAGAGGTTGCAGGTGAAGGTTTGGAAGGTGAACAGATGGAAGGTGAAGAAATAGAAAAAACCGGTGAAGAAGGCCTTGTTCCTGAAGAACAAGTTGAAGAGGAAGAACAATACGTCGAGGAACCACCTCCCGATCCGGCTGCTCCATATGATTTTAGTGACTCTAAAGAAGCCTTGAAAGCACCCTTTGAACTACGACCTGATCAATTAGCTGAAGTAGAACAACTATGGGAAATGTTCCAAAATTACACTCCAGCATATGCTGAATTAGATGGATTTATTACAGAAAAAGAATTGATTTTCATGCTAAAAAGTCTTCTGATCATGACATATACAACGGAACAACTCCAAGAGCTAGTAACCTACTGTTGCAGACCACCAAATGCAGATGGACATATATTTTATGAACAGTTTTTAAAAATGGTGACAATAAGACAAAGAGACTTTCCTATTGAAGAAGAAATCCGAGCTTCATTACAAGTGTACGACCCTGAGAAGACAGGAATACTAGATCGAGAATACTTGAGAGATGTTTTGACGAAACAGGGTAGTAAAATGTCGCCCCGCACGGTAGATAATCTTATTAAAGAAGTTGACATAAGTAATGATGGTACTATAAATTTAGAAGATATAGTTGCAACAATGTGCATTGATTTGAATAAAGAAGACTTGCAAATACTTAGAGCGGCTGCTTATCCTAAAGGGCCAGATGATACAGAGGAGAAAACTCAGCAGGAAACAGAGTTAACGGGCGATGGTAATGAAGAAAATTAAACCGAAATTAATTAATTTACCGACAAAATTTCTAAAGTTTAGTCTAAACTGGGTACACACGTATAATATTAAAAATAAAACAAAGTAAATAAGTAATATTGCTGTATTTTCATTGAAAATAACCATAATTCACATAAAATAGAGCTGTCTGAGTTAAATGACTTAAGGCCCATGACGTGTTAGTTAACTCTTGTTTTAAATTAAGGTACTTTCAGGATACTGCTCAACTTTCAACGGGTTTTTTAAGGGGGGAAATCATCGAATGACTGCTGGAGTGCTGATGGAGTGAGTGTCAGACTCTTACTGACTAAAAACCACCGCGTTCCTTCTCCTGCACGTCGAGCCTGAGCTCCGGTAACCTGGTAGGTTCTCTGCGACATTCCATGGGGTTTTGTTCTGGTTTAATAGCAGTCACTGCTGTCAAACCTCATTGACTGTACCTACCTATAGTTTACGCAGTGGCTGGGGCCTGGGATACTGGCGAGTTAGATCCGCGCACAGACACAACTCGAGTGTAATCAGTAAGGCAGTCGCACTGGCAACAAATTGAAATAATAATAATTTTAAAAATATGACAATATAATTTAATGTTTCTATCCTATGTGCTGTCCCCGGTACCGTGCAGGCAATATTCTTCTATTACTTCCAATACCAAGTAGTCCAAAGTACTACGGAAATTCCTCTAAGTTCGAGGCTAGATTGTCCCCATCACTAAGTCACCACACAACCATGCCGCCCCTATACTTATTATACTCTTTGACCATGACATAAGCCACGATACCACTCTAGGTGAAATAAACCACAGATGGGGCCCAACAGGGCCGATGCCGATTCGGAGTCGCGGAGAACCTAACGGGTTACCGGGGCTCCGGCTCGATGTGCAGGAGAAGGAACGGGGTGGTGTTTAGTCAGTAAAAGTTGGACACTCCCTTCCGCCTCACCCAGGCGGAAGGACGATTTTCCACTCTTAAAAAAATTAAAAAAATTGTTGCCTGTAAAGTCGTTTTTACGGGCGAAGATTTTACGTGACAACGTCTTTTTCTCGGTAGAATATTTATTGATATGAATATAATTAAATTGCACAATAGGAACAAGGAATTGAATGAACTAGTGCTGCGCGCGCGGCAGACCGATCATAGTTGAGTGGGAGAGAGACGCAAGGCATTCGGCGGGCCTCTCTCTCGTTCGGTGACTCATCGTAACGTTACCGAGCGTTACACTTTTTCATAAGTGACTCCCAGCCGCAACCTAATTTAAGACGTTGTCACGTCAAAAAA